AAAGCCAGTACTGCCTATAAAGCTCAGGCTGACAAGAAGAGAATTGAATCTAAACCTTACAAAGTGGGTGACAAAGTTTACCTATCTACTAGGATTCTAAAATCATCTTGCAACCATCCAAAAAGTTGGGTCCTAAGTATATCGTTCCTTTTCCCATCATCTCTATTATTAACCCTGTTATGGTGGAACTGCAACTTCCTAAATCAATGCAGCAAATCCACCCCATGTTTCATTGTAGTCTGCTAAAATGTGAAATTATCTCTGACCTCCATCCTGCTCCTGCCTCTACTCTATGCCCTATTATGGCTGAAGTTGAATAATATTTTAAAGTTCAGGCAATCCTTGTGTCAACTCGTAAAGCATTCCGGGCCTGCTCTCGAGTTGCCATAGGCAAAGTGGGGGCAGAACTGATGGAGGAGTTCATTGCTATGATCAGAAGCACATTTCATGCATACCATTCTCCAAATTGTGTCTCAAGTTACCAAACCCAGCGTGTTTTCCACAGCCCGTGAAAGTGCTCCATTAGATAATGTGATTTATAACACACCCTGGGAGAAGGGGGGAAACAGGGACATAGGTGGGCAGTAAATTACATGGGACAGAGTTGACTGCACTTGGGAATGTTGTTCCTAATAAATAATTGGATTTCTTTTGTACCTTGGCTCGAGGCTTATGAATTAATTAGAGCATCCATTGGAACCCTGACAGCCAGCTGGCTCTCCTTTTTAAAACTAATTGAAATTACCAGGATACCTGGGTCCCAACCTCTCCAATCACTACCCGACATCTGGGGTGCTTGGAGAGAAAACAGGAAACCATGGCAGAGGGTGGATTATATGAAGAGAGCCTGCTCCAAGAGATACAAAAGGAGGCAGAGCTTACCTCCAACCAGTAAATTCCAGGACCCAGCAGCCTAATTGCAACCAGAGCGCAGCCCTCCCATGGACATCAAAGCTGAGATGCCTGCCCCAGCAACCAAAGCAAGAGTATTGGTGGAAAAGAATCCCTAAAGCAGCTGAGCTTGAATTCCCCCATCCTAATACCCAGTTGAAGGCTCCTGAGCAAGCTGGGAAGAGTGGATTGGATATGGGACTGGGTACAGGTCAGGCTCCCAAAGCCCCGGATGGAGACCTTGGGGAGTTCCTTAGAGCAGCTGAGGGAGGAATTTGACTGAGCCACCATTTGTGATGAGGAGTCCTCATGCCACTCAAAGGAGATGAGAGGTGTGCAGCTGATCCTTTTGAAATGAGGAGACACAGATGGGAATGCAGCCCCCCTTCTCCACCCATCAGAAGGAGAAGGGGCCCAAGACTGCAACCAGTGCCTCTCCCACCCAGCAGGTAGGCACCCCCAGGGCAGACAAACACTCCCCTGTCTCCGAACTAGGGCTAAGGAAGATGGCCAGCCACATCAAGTGCAGGCATACAGGGGCTGACAGGAGGAGGGAGGAGCAGTGCTGAATGAACTGCCCGACTTCAGGGAAAAATTTGATGGGGACTCCGACCAGCTAACTCTATTCCTTCATTTGGCTGAGATCCACCTAGAATGCTATGGACACCTCTACCCATTCCCCAAAGCCATGGTGAATTATATCACTGAGAGGCTAGAAGGAGAGGCAAAGGAATGGCTAGCAGCCCTACACAAGAGAAGAGCCCCCCCTCCCCCCCCAAGTGCAAGAAGTAGATGACTTCCTATGACTGCTAGGGGCCTGATTTGAGGCGGTAGAGGAGGACCCGTATGTGGAAGATATGCTCAGAAACCTAATGCAGAGGGAGAGACACATCAAGGAACACATCCCTGAATTCAGGAAAGTCATTGAGAAGCTACCCTCTTTGCCAGAGCAGCTGTTAATGCATTTTTTCAGAACAAGCCTGGACAACCAAATTGCCCAGGTAACCATCTACCGGGACATCTTGAAACAACTTTCTGAGTGGTTCCAAGTAGCCATAAAGTTGACAGCGGATTGCGCACCAATGACATGAGAAAGCAACCGGACACTAAAGAGAGAGTCAACCAGACCAGAGGCCACCCAGCTGAAGGGGAACCACAGCATCATAGCCAGCCCCCAAACCAGCCCTCCCACAAAGTCTGCTGAAATGCTATAGATGCGGGGGAATAGGCTACATGGCAGCAGCATGCACAACCCCAGCCCTGAAACTAAGGCCAGAGCCACCATCCAGGGCACAACGGGAATGAGGTCCCAAGTACACCACTGATATGTCCCTCCAGGCTGCAGAGGTCCCTCCACACCCAACCGAAGGAGGAGAAACTCAGGCAACAATGACCAGTAGCTGGAATCCTATGACAGCAAGGACAAGGGCAAAAATGACCTGAGGGTGAGTGAACCAGTTCACCCTTTTGTTTTCCCAATACACCTAACAGACCCAAAAACAGGAACCCAGGGGACTTTTCAAGCCCTAATAGACTTAGGTGCACTAGATGCTTGATCAACCTAACCACAGTCCTGAAACTGGGGATCAGAACAAAAAGACTAACCCACCCTATCTGGTTCAAACAGGTCAATGGGTCCCCATTGGGGGTAGCCTATGCCACCCACCTGACTGAACCAGTGAGGCTAAAGCTAGCAAATCACTGGGAAGTAATTTGATTCGTAATAGTCCCCAAATTGACATATGCAATAATACTGGGACTTGCCTGGCTAGACAAATAGCGACTGATCATCTGGTGGCAAAGGGGTAGCGCAGACTGAGGATAGCAAGGGGACCTCAACCCCCTCCACACTAGCAGATAGAAGACCGTCCACACAGGGAACCCACCCAAAGGGCCCACCAGAACAACTGGCAGCCACCTCCACAAAATCCCAGAGGCTGAGCAGATCCCGAGGGAATATCAGGATCTCACAGAAGTATTCAGCAAGGCCCAGTATGATGTCCTGCCTCCTCATGAGAAAGACTGCACCATCAAAATCATCCCTGGGGCAAAACTACCCAAGCCCAAACTGTACGCCATGATGCTCTGGGAAATGCAAGAAATCTGCAAATGCATAGACAAAAAACTATAAAGGGGGTTTATCAAACTAGCCAAACCATGAGCCGTAGCCCCAGTCCTGTTCAAAGAGAAATAAGATGGAATTATGAGATAATGCATTGATTTTAAAGGCATAAACTGAGTGTGTGTATACCTCCTCCCTCTCATGAAGGACATGCTATCTCATCTGGCCAAGGGAAAAGTCTTTACCAAATTCAGAGAAGCATACTACCGAGTCACATCAAGGAGGGAGATGAATGGAAAACAGCATTCAACTTCCCTCTAGGGAGCTTCCAATTCAAAGTGATGCCTTTCGGACTGAAGGGCCCCCTAGCAGTGTTCATGCAGCTAATAAATGAGGTGCAGCATGAGCACCTCTATAAGGGATCTTTGTCTATCTAAATGATATCCTCATCTGCACATGGACAACTACATGCCCCTGGTCCACCAAGTACTGGAAAAACTTCTGGCAGACATCCTGTATATCAAACTGTCAAAATGTGAATTCCACCATGCACTGCTAGACTACCTGGGCTACTAAGTGTCCAATGAGGGCATAGAGATGGACCCAGCCAAAATATAAGCTGTTCTGGGCTGGCAGCCCCCTCGCACTCACAGGCAGCTATGAAGCTTCTTGGGGTCTGCAAACTTCTATTGACAATTAATCCCCTCCTTCACAAAGATTACCAAACCCATGATGGACTTTCTAAAAACAGGAAGCCCAGGAATGAAACCCTGCCCAGGACAACCCCCACAGTGAGTCCTAACCTGCCAAAAGGCATTTGAAACACTGAAAGAATCGTTTGCAAAAGAACTAGTGCTGAAGCATCCTGATCCCAAACAATCTTTCATCATCCAAGCAGACACCAGCAACGTGGCAGTGGGAGCTGTATTACTCCAAAGAAATAGCCAAGGAAATGTATAGTGCTGTGCCTACACTTCCCGCAAGCTCACGGACACAGAGAGATGATGGATTGCATGGGAAAAAGAGACTTTTGTGATGAGATGGGCACTGTTAACCTGGTACCACCTACTAGAAGTGGGACAGAGGCCATTCGAAGTCTGGACCAACCACAAAAATCTGGACCCCACAAAAACTATCACCCAAACAAGCCCACTGGGCTCATTACTTGTACCCTGGCAAACCTCTCTGATTGTATATTTGTCTCTCCTTCCCTCTTTCTTTTTCCTTCAGGTGGATTTTCCATTTGGCATGTCAGATCCCATAGGTTTCTATTGGGACACTGTCATTCTGGTAGGAGGGGGGGAGGCTTGGGGTGATCTCAGTATGGGGTTTCTGTTTCTATTTTCTGCTTTGCTTTGCTGCAACTTTCGGAGCCTTGGGAGGAGGAAAGAATGTGCCTCAAGCCAGGTGCCTTATCTTGTCTCCAGAAAGGAGTAGCAACATTGCCTTGGAGACCGGTGTTTATTACTTCCTCAGCCTGAGTTTCTCATAATATCTTTATTTTTCAGGATTGGCTTGATGGTGTATTGGACATTGGGAGGGGCTCTGTCTGCACTGATTTAATTTACTGGGAAAATTTAATTCCTGCTTAGATCTCTTGCAATCACAATCTTCCAATAAAAGTTTCCCTTTGAAATGGTTTTTGTTTCAAGAGAAGATTGGATTGGTTTCTTGAGACGATTGGAGAGGCAGGACCTGACAGAGAGAGGGATGGACAGACAAGAAATAAATGTACAGTGCTTCTTACTGGGAATATTAGAAGCTGTCAGTCTGGAAGCATATGAACAGTTATGTACCTTGAGCTATTGTTGTTTGTACATTATGATGTACCAGTACCACTGCCCTAACCTTTTTGAGAGTGAAAATATTAATGAACAATTGCTATTATCAGCTCCACTGTTTATGCAAGCAGTAAGAAATACCATTACTTTTGGAATTCAATTTGAAAATGTAATTATGAGTATAACGCTTAGGAGAATTTGGTTTCTTCTAAAGCCAAGCAGGGGACAGCAAGTACTGTAAAAGAAACAAGATAAAGAGCACTCACCTTAGAAGAACTACATTGTTTGACATAAAGGCACCAATTGTCACATCTAGAAAAAAAAGTTTATAGCATTTAGAACAAGCATGATTCCTGTAATATAATTTTCCAGGACAATATATTCCTGAACATTCTCCGTATATCAATATGTAAGATCTATTTTCATTACAAAATGCTCCCATTAAATTGACTCATGTCAAGAAAGGAATAAAGACAATCTAAATAATATTTGGTTATTAAATTTAACATAGTTTAATTCACCATCCAGTTACTAAGCTGTAATATGAATAGCTTCTATGTTTCTCAGAATTTATCCTAGGAGACCAAGTTTCATGATTTGTAAGTATACAATTACTGCTTATCTTTTTAAAGTTCACGTCACTTACATTCTTCGATTTCTACTATTGGGTTCAGATCTGTTTCAAACTTAGTATAGTTCAACCAACTTCCCCCTTTGCCCTAAATTCATTGAAAATATGTTTATTGTATCAAGTAAGCACATTTTAATGAAAACAAAAGAAAATGAAAGTATATGAATCCTTAACTCTTTAGTTCCTCCATTAATTTTATCAATTTATTTGCATTAAACTGACTGTCACAGCCTACCTGGATAATCATTTCCATCCATATCAACTCCTCCAGAAATGGACTGGCCAAACATTTGCAACCAGGGATTTAATTTCCTTCCAGATATCCTCTGCAACAAACAATTCAGAACTGAAATCAATCAAACCAAACAAAAACATAATATTTATGTTTTATATACTTGATAAAATTCACTGCAAATTAATCTATTGATAGAATTGAGCTGATTGATTCTGAACCATTTATTATCTCCAAGTTATGCAAATGAGAAAGATGGTTTATACACAGGCATATTCATACGTTGATATCAATACCATCATATATATTTTATTTATTCATTTAATGTATATGCTGCTCATCTCAATGCCAAGCAATATATAGACAATTCATCCCCTCATTTGCTAAGATTGCATCACCTATTACCAATCTTCTGAAGACAAAGAGAGAGGGCAAGGCCAAGCCTAGCCATCCCCTTGAATGGACATGGAAAGCAGCCTTTGAGAAAGCAGCTATTTGCATCCAAACCTGTACTTAAACAGATTTCCCATTTATGGTCCCGGCAGACATCAGTGATGTGGCTGTGGGTGCCGTGTTTCTGCAAGATAACACCAAAGGGGCCTTACAAACTTGTGCTTACACCTCCAGGAAATTAATAGAAACTGAGAGAAGATGAGCAATTTAGGAGAAGGAAGCATTTGCAGTCCAATGGTTCCTATTAACTTGGAGACATTTCCTCTTTTGAGGTATGGACCAGGGGTGGGATATGACAGGGTTAACTACTGGTTCGGGATTTAAGAGCTTCCCTGCATGCTGGGAGCCGCGCACCTGTAAATAGTCATCAGCAGGCTGCATGCAGAGAAGCAGCCTTTGAAACAGCCTTCTTTTCCTGCTTTATTAACTGCAGCTGTGCCTCTTTTGGCAGCTAAAGTTGAAAAATCAGGAAATAAAGATCAGGTAAGAGCCCAGGTGGGGAGGTGGGCAAAAACATCAGCAGACATAGAACCGGTTCTATGTCTGCTGCTCTTCAGAGCTACCAGTTCTACAGAGGTGGACAGAACTGGTAGAAACCCACCCCTGGTGTGGACTGACCATAAAAACTTGGAAACCCTAAAAACTCCCTGAAAACAGTCCCCCTAAGCAAATTTGTTCAGCGCACTACTTTAATCATTTTAACTTTTCCTTGCGCTACATTCCTAGGAGAAAAATCTTTATGACAGATGCTTTGTCTAGACTGCCCCAATCCAACAGTGCTAGGCCAGAAGTGATTTGTCCAGTCATCCCTTTCAAATAACTAGTTACCAGAGCCCAGGAAAAGTCAGACCTCGACCTTCCCAAGGACTTATGTGAGGAGTTGAAAGGAGTGCTAAAAAGTGGTGATTGGTTTCTGTCCCACACAAAGGAATGCACCATGTGAGGTGGCCTGGCATGAATTGGCACTGAACTATACATACCCACCAGTCTTAAGGGGACTGTGTTGCAATGGGCCCATAATTCCAAAACTGCTGGGCACTTTGGTTTCTGAGACTTTACACCTGGTCAAACGGCAGTTTTGCTGGCTCTCATTGAAAAAGGACATAGATACCTATGTGGCCAGTTGTCCTGCATGTGTTGCTGCTAAGAGACCCCCAGGGAAGCCTGCTGGACTCTTCCAGAGTGTTGTCAATTCTAGCACCCCAGGGAAGGAAATATCTATGGATTTTATTGTTGAATTACCTGAGAGTGGGGGGAATACAGCTATCTGGATGATTACGAACTTATTTTCCAAGCAGGTGCACTTTATACTCTGCCCCAAAATACCCTCTGCTAAAACACTTGCTAAACTATTTATTCAACATGTGTATAGGTTACATGATATTCCTGGTTGCATAATTCAGTAGGGGGTACAATTCACCTCCCACTTCCAATGGGAATTCCTGAAGTTGTTAACTCAGGGTCTAAGCTCCGTCCATCACACCAAACTAACAGGGCCTATGAATGTACTAATTCAGTTCTGGAACAGTACCTTAGATGCTATGTAAACTACCAGCAGGACAATTGGGCTGACCTGCTGCCATTCACAGAGGTTGCTTAAAATAACTCAATTCATAGTAGCACTGGCTTCACTCCATTTAAAGTTGCTTCTGGTCAGATTTCATCCCCATACCAGAACTGCCTCAGAGAAGCCTCAGATTCCCTCCTTAGTGGAATGCATTGAACAGCTACAATGCATTTGGCCCTTCATCCATAAGACACTGGACGAGGCACGAGGATCAGGCCCGTAAGAAACAGGCTGACAAGAAAAGGGTTAAATGAAAAGAATTCCAAGCTGGGACAAGGTTTTCCTAACTACGAAGTACCTACAAACCACCCAAAAATCAATGAAACTGGGGCTCAAGTATGTAGGCCCTTTCCCCATAGTCAGAATCATCGATCTGGTCATGGTACAAATAGAGCTACCCAAAACCCTTAGGCAGAACTACTCCGTATTTCATGTTAGCTTGCTCAAGCCTGAGCAAGTATTTCCTCTTTGGCCAGCCCAGCCTGCCTCCCCACTCAGTTCCCCTCCTCATTATAGGGGAACAACACTTTGAAGTCAAGGAAATCCTGGATTTCAGGAAACATAGGTGGAAAGTACAGTTATTTGGTGGTCTGGAAATACTTCCCTCCTTCACAATTTGAATGGGTGAATGCTCGGGATGTCTGGGCCCCCAATCTCCTTCAAATGTTTCATCAAAAATACCCTGACAAACTTTAATGTACCTTTACTTTCCTGTCCAGTAGGTCTTACTCTGTCTTTTGTTTTTTTCCTCCTCTACTGCAGGAGGGCCGAATGTCAGCATGGGATTCTCCTTTGATGCATGCTTGCTACCGGCTGCCATAATAATGGGGACGAGGGGGCATTGCATTTGAGTTGGGGAAGTGAGCAGGTGAGGTAAAGTCCCATGTAAACTAAAAAGGAGGTTTGCTCTCAAGAATTATTACACTGCTGAGTGAAGTTGTTTGCACCCTGTCAAGGCCAACTGTCCTAGGACTCCAGATAGGCAAAATACCTGAAGATGAGCTTCTCCCAACATCACACTGGATGTTGATTGGACACTCAGCAAGGGACCCTGGAGAGGGGTTTTGGGAAACTTTCAATCTGTAACTTTCACATGTTTTGAATTGGATCTTGCCTTGCTTTCACTGCTATCATTTCAAATTCAGTAAAAGTATATCTTCTCTATTTCAATGGAGTTGGGGGTTTCCTTTCTTGGGATTTGAATGGAGGCAGTTCTGACAATAGTAGTGTCTTGCTACAGGGATGGAACAACAAGGACAATTAATATATTTTTAAATTTAAGCATACAGGAACTATCTTTGCAAGAAAGTCATTAGGTCTCTGACTCCTATTGATCCAAAACTTGCAATGCAGATGTTCTGGTGTAATGACTCTCTGCTCATCCACAAAACAAATCTAAGAAACCTTACTGGAGAACATTCTATAGGATATTGGTATTTCTTTGAAAGAGATGGGAATGCAAAATTCTGCATTTTTGTTTTAATTTCTCCATTTTCTACTGGCAAAATTGAACCCTAAATAAAAAAAACAATAGCCCTTCCCATTATCAGATGGGAGAAATGGGAGAAAAATCTGCAGATATAAAAGAGGGATAAGGAGCTTTTAAATCTTCTGTTCCAAAAAAATGGAAATGAAGGCAACAGAAAGCAGCTGGACCCCTCAAATTACATTTACACAAGAGAATGTGGCTTGAATTTTTTTGGGGGGAGGGGGGTTCATTTCTGCTAGGGTGGTAAGAACAGAGCTATACAATACATATCCCACAGGCATCTGCAGGCTATTAGGATATAAAGGTTGGAGAATAATTATACACAGCTTGGAGAGCTGCAAATGAAAGCAAGGGCTGCAAAACTAAGCTTGATAGCATTTATTTAATAGAGACCATTATCTGTCAGCTTCTTAAGGTATTTCAGGTATGCCCAGGATTTTGCTGTATCATTTGCTTTCCTTTCATCATAATACACAACAATTGTGTAGTGTGTGTGTGTGTGTGTGTGTGAGAGAGAGAGAGGGAAAGGGAGAGAGAGAAAGAAATAAAGAAATAAAAAAATAAAGAAGGAAGGAAGGAAGGAAAGACAGAGAAAGAAAGAAAGAAAGAAAGAAAGAAAGAAAGAAAGAAAGAAAGAAAGAAAGAAAGAAAGAAAGAAAGATTGTTTTACAAAATCTACAGCATCTGGATGGTGCAGCAACCAGGCCCCAAACCTTTCACCCTGAGGTTACTGGTTCAAATAGAGGCCAGGTAAGCAGACATTACAAATTAAACATCTGAAAGTATTTGATGGATTTTTGATGCAAATAAGTGGCTGACCTACAGCCCTGGTCCATGAGAACATGACAAAACAACAATCAGAAGCCTGGGGCAAAAAAAGAGAAAGACAAAAATGAGATCAAAGACAAAAATAGAAAATTATGGGCAATACATTTTTCTAAAAAATCCAAAAGATTCAGTGATTATTTTAACTGTTTGCCAATATTAATCTCCCTTTGTATAAAACTCTAATATTGCCTCAAATGTGAAAAAAGCAAACACTATTTCCTCTCCTATATTCAGATATCCTCAGCCAAACTAACATTATGCATCTGAATCAGTTCTGATGTTTCCACTCTCCTCTCCATAGACAGAAATAATTGTCTATGCATCACAAATTATCACTTTTACAAACTATCATAAAAAGGAATTTAGCATATGTTATTATGTTTCAAAGGAGAGTTAATGCATTCTAAAACAGTCAGCAAACAGCAGAACTAATCATCTGCAGACTTCTCAAATGATCTCAGAGGCAATCACTAACCTCTGACTTAGCATCCGTCATAAACCCCCACCCAGCAACAAAGAAAAACATTTAGATCAGTATTTTAAACAGCTGGATAAAAAATTACGTTTTTTTTTTTCCCATAAGCCTTTTAGAAAGCAAAAATGCAACACTAACAAGCTTGGGACAAAAGGCTCATATTGTGATCTAGTAACACATATTCTGAAAAAAATCAGTATTTACTAAAAGAAACAGAATTTGTTTTAACTTCCACTATTACAGCCAAGAATCTAAGATGAAATCAATAGAAACACTTTCTAAAAAGGGATTCATAGAAAGAAAATAGTGGAATAGATATTAAATCAAGTTGTTATTTTCCTTATTTTAGGCCATAAAATCTTGTTATGACATGTTGTTTATTTTTATCTATCTATATAAAAATGAAAAAGCACTCATGCATCATCACAAAATCTTCAGAACCATAAAGCCTACAAACTTGAAATTTGTCACATTATGTTCCTCTTGGCTTCTAGGTGCTCACTAAGAAAGGATTGTTTGAAATTATCATCAAAGTATTATTATTTCATAGATTATTATTAACACACTTTGGTGCTAAGGAGTTCTACTCCCTCTCCACACCTGAAAATAAATCTCTTCCAAATGCAAAACACAAACAGAGAAGAGGAGTTTCAGTTTCAGTTTTACTTTCACAGCAGCAAATAGCTTTACTATAGAACAGTTGACTTAAGTCACGCCCAGGCTCCTTGCTGTCTCTTTGCTCACACACCAAATACTGTCTGAGTTTCTAAACACCCCTCAACTCTCTCACACACTGACAGGACACTGCTAGCTAGCCAGATGAATACCAATGGATGCTGGTAGGCAGACGCAGAATTTTTTCCCCTTATTTTCTTCTCAGTTCAATCTGTTCCTTCTACTGTAACACCAGTTAAAGGAAAAAGTGGCAAAAACAGAGAAAAAGATTTACAGATGCGATTAGGAAAACACAAGTAAGGGAAGCTGCACACAAGTATCATCAAACTCATCCCCAAGTCAGTAGACAGTATAAAATAATAAAAGTATACATATAATAATCCCTATGGTAATCAGTCACAAATGAGATCAATGCCTTGGACTAATAAGTATTTCTCTAGTTTTCAATATGAACCTCAGATTCATTATTCCAGGGAAAAGGTTGTTGATCTCAGACCTCAGTTACCTTGTGCCTGGTGCCATGCTCTAAAGTGGCAGAATGAGAGTCCTGGAATGTGCTGCAGTGGCGGTAAAGTCCAGCTCCCTCTCCTTCAGCCCTACCCTGAACCCTTACATCCAGCCTTCTCACCCACCAGCATCCAATGGCAAAGAACTTTCTTTTTGCTATCCAGAAGTACAACGGATGCTTCCAAATGACATCTTTTGGAGCCAGAGAGGTGAAGGAGGGAAATTTTATGCCAAGATTCAAAGTGCAGAGGCAGGTCTACCACAGGATAGGGAGTATGATGGCGGGGCCTCAGCAGCAGCCTTCATTTCTCCAGATATACTTTGTTGGTGATGATGACAATGAGAGGGACATCCGTTGTGGAATCTATATATCTAAAAGCCTAACTCACACATCATCATGAAATCTTCAGAACCGTAAAGCCTACAAAGTTGAAATTTGGCACGTATGTTCCTCTTGGCTTCTAGGTACTCACTAACAAAGGATTTTTTGAAATGACATCAGACCATTGGTATTTCCTATATTATTATTATTAACACACTCTGATGCTAAGGAGTTCTACTCCCCCTCCCCACCTGAAAAGAAATATCTTTCAACTGCAGCTCAGGTAAGCCATACCCAGGCTCCTTGCTGTCTCCTTCTTGCTCACACAGCATACTGTTTCAGTTTCCAAACCGCCCTGAACTCTCTCACACACTGACAGGATGCTAGCCAGATGAATACCAATGGATGCTGGTAGGCAGAAGCACAATTTCCCCCCTTATTTTCCTCCCACAAAACTTGCCCGATCACATAGTTTCATAGCGAAGCATGGGTACCCTGCTAGTTTATTTATAACCCACCTTTATTATTTTTACAAATAATTCAAGGCAGCGTACATATCTAACACACCTTTTTCCTTCAATTTTCCCCACAACAACAAATCTATGAGGTGGACTGGATTGGGAAAGAGTGATTAGCTCTAAGTCACTGAGTTAATTTTCATGGTAAGGCAGGACTTGAATTCATTGTCTCCCACTTTCTAGATTGATGCTAAAGACTTAAAGATAAAGCATGAGACTTTAAGATGAAATAAAAAAACAATATGCTTATGTCCCTTCCCTTTTCTCTTTTTTTCCCAATTTATTTTGGGTTTCGGAGTGGGGGTATTTTTTTGCTTTTATTTCTGCATAATAAAGAAAAATCATTAATTAATCATCTTCTTATTCCACTAGATAAAACTTGAAATTAAAGCTTGAAATAACAACTTATGTAAACATATATGATCAATATTTTCAATGACTGTCTCATGTTGGGAGTATCAAGAGGGGAGGAACTGTACAAACCACTATATGGTGACAATGTCGATGGCAGATTACTGACAATAGCCCCTCAAGTACATACTTAATTTAAAGCCCTATTTCACATTTTATTGTAGAAGAAGGACTGGCAAAGCGAAGTGAGAGATGAAAAGAGGGATCAGAGGAGAATCACTACTGTAGCCACAAGGGAACAAGTCCAACTTGACCCTTATCTAACTCTAACCAAGTTCTTGAGAATATTCCTGTGCAGAGGCTTTTAGCAATAACTCAGTTAAATTGAACCTTCATCTGTGGACCTGGTCTTTTAAGCAATAGGCCACTTTCTAACTTTTAGATCTGTCCTAATTTAGCTTGCCATATTCTTGCAAATCATCTTGTAACATTTAGTACTTACCATGGAATATCGAGGAATGATGCCCCCAATGTATCCATGATAAATATATACTGCTCCTGCATAGTCATCTTCTTTAGGAGCACCAATGGCAACATCTACAAAAGGCCAAACAATATAAGAAGCAATGGTGAATTCTTCTAGTTCTGAAGGTGATTTTTTCCTTCAGCCTACCTTCTTTAACACAAAGATAGGAGCAATTGGCTTAGTGGCAATGTAATTTGCAGAATATTACTTCATTTCATAAGCACTGGATATTTAAAAACAAACAAATCCTCAGATTTGAATTTCACCTAATAAAAACATGTGTTTAGTTTCTATAAATACTACCAATTATGCACAGGAGAATACTTATCCATCTCGGCTTGCTTGCAAGGCAGATCTTAGATAATGGTAGATAAATCTATGAGTTGCACAGAGAATGTAATTCCCTACCACATAGCCAATCCACATGTTTTTGATTGTTTAATTTTGTCTATGCAACATACAATTATATCATTTAAGCTAGTTCAGATTGTATTTATTAATACATTGCTAAGTTGGTTAAAAATCAAGGTGGAAATTTTAATCAATAGAAAAAAACCTACCTTTAGTTTAACTAACAGGAACCAATTTTAGTTGCATGCATTAAGATTTAGGATTAAGTATAAATTATTTCTAAAATAGTTTTTTTATGGTCTTTGTTTTTTTCTATTTAGCTCCCATTATAAAAACTGCCCAATTGTTTAATCCAATCCAACTTGAAGTTCCTTATTTTCTTCTCTTTACTCCTTTTAGACCATTTAGACAGCATTGGGGAAAATCAACTTCTTTCAAAAATTTGAGGTACAATATTGAAAGAAATTAATTTATTTCCAACACTAGAGATTTTAAAAAAGAAACCCCTGCTTTTCTATTTTAGTTATACATGCATTAGGCCCTTGGACATGCTTAGATAATAAATACTATTCTTAAGTCAAAAATACACCCCCAGTGCACTTGTCTCTTCATTATATTAACCCATTATATTTATACAATTATGATAGTTCAATATTATTATACGTACTCTGTAAATAGCAGATTTATCTTGCTAAAGCAAGAAAGGACAAGACCTGGTACAAAAGAAAATATACTGACCTGGAAATCCATCATCATCAATGTTCCCAAGGGATGCCATGCTTTCCCCAAAGTGTGCATTGTAAACGTTATCTCCATTCAGAACACATTGCTCTTCCATAACTCCCTAGCAAACAGGAAATAGGTCAGGCTAAGAAAAATAAAGGCTAGTGTTGAAAGATGCATGACCGCTGTAGGAATCTCATATATATGTCTTTCAGGAAACACCTGGAACATATCTAGAGTAAGATTCCTGAACTTCTGGCCATATGCTTCAGTGAGTACAACTATTCAGAGAGGAAATCAGTGTAAATTTAAAAAGTACTCAATTATTCCTGAAAATGGAATCACTGGTCTGAATATCATATCAAAGACTAATACATGGCAAATCTAATTTCTCAAAATCCAAAACACAGAAAAATCTCATGCATGTCAAAACCTCCATATGTGTTATAGCAAAAAGCTAAACAGCTAGCAAAGTATAATGCTTCTATTCTGTAAAAATGAACAACTGAGGGAAATTTTAATATACAACATATTCAGCAAAATCTCCCATAATCACTGGAGCTGGGACAGATAAATCAGTTCAATTAGTGTTAAAATAACTGAATTAAACATGTTGATTCATCAACAGAACAAAATATGTATTTTGTTTCTTTATCTGCTGGTGAACAATACTGATGTCACAACAGGATTATTTTAGAAGAGGGATTCCCTTTTCTGTATAGGAAAACAGGGAATACCTCTTCTGAAGTATTAACTGCAGCAATAGCTGCATAAATAATTAGAAAACAAAGCTAAGTAGCAGTAGGTATGCAACTATGTAAGGATATAGTTAGTCAGGATTTCTTTAACAATGAAAACCTTGAAAACAGACTGCCCCCTTCAGTACTCCAAAACATGTAAACACCAACTGGCAGATCCTTCATACACAGAATATAAACAATATTGTATATTTGGCAAAGCCTCAGATGCAAAGGGCCAAAATACTTAACATCACAAAAAAACAAGCAAAATACAAATCTCCATAAATAATCCAGTGGATTCAAATAACAGAAGAGAGATTTTGACTGAGCAGTAGCATGAAATGTATGATTTGCTAGGGGAAGTAGTCTGAAAGGCCATTTACTGGTAGTTGTAAATTTCCTGTAAAAGCAGGGGTTGAACTCAATGACTTTTGTAATCCCCTTCAGTTCTAGGATTCTATATATAAGAAATGAGATTCATAGGTTTTGGAGACATGTTTCACTGATCTAAATTTTCCAAACCATGGATTTCTAATGTGAATTTCTACTATGGTTAACGCATGTTTCACTACAGTCTCTAACTTGTAGTATAGATGCCATTTGTGATAGGCAAATTTCCCTGGTCTCAATCTGAAACAGAACATAGAAAATTAAGTCAGTAAATAGCTGTCCCATTCTAAATCTAAAAATTCTTGTCATGGGGTATAATAATGGGCTTCAACATTAAAGATACGCAATCTTGTAGTCCCCCATTCCCACTGACAACCTATTAATCTTACTCTACCCATCAATTTCCCAACACCAGCAGGAAAAGAGGCCTCTTTGAAAATCTTTGTGGGAATTGGCATCCCCATCCCCCCACCTCTCTCTCTGATAGTATGGTATCAGAGTATGATATCAAGACGTTCTGAGGGCTCTGGGGATCCCTCTGGAGCTCCTTGCATTTTCAGATTTTCTACTATTGTCATATCCTAAGAAAGAAAAATTCACAAAGGTTTCCTGTAAAAAGTAACAAGAAGACAATCCAGATCTGTATTCTAGTTGGGAAGGAAAAATCTACTCTGATATATAGAATCATATATGTCATATTGCTTGTTTTGCAACTTGCATGTAGATGATGTAGCATTGTCTGGTTCTTCGACTAGGATATCTGCCTCCCAATTGCCCATAATTACATAAGTACCTTCCTCTGGGAATCAATTCCATCTTACATAGAAAAACATTTTTTTCAAAAAAAAAAAAAAAAAGGACTTCAAGGAGTTGTGGAAGGCAAAATATGATGGAAATGAAGTGAAGTTACCCAGGGAGGATTTTTCAATCTCTATTGGTTTTTCAAGACTTAACCCTGAAGAAGTGCAGTATATCAAACACAGGCCTATCTATTTCAACCACTATTTTGGATTTATTTTGTTTAAAACATAGAAATGAAAATTCAAAATTGGCATTTTTGTATATTGTTCTGGGGAGGGGGAGAAAAGGGATATTCTTTGGTTCAACATGTAGTCTGTGAAGTATTTAATCAGACAACTTCTCTCCGCCTGGCGCTCTCCAATTGCATTGACTGGGAAACTTGATAGGATTCCAAAAAATGGAGAAATGCCACAGAGAAGAAGCATTAGATTAAAATTAAAATTTTAAGTGCATATTCTTCAGGGACAAAAAAAGCTTGTTCAATCAGAGTTCCCATTCAGGGATAAGATGTTAAATGTCCTCAATGAAGCCCACATAGAATCCTCTTTCAGACTTTACCATTTGTTGCAAAAGAATGCGAATAAAGATAACCTCACTAAAATAATTCCTTTAAACTATGTTTTAAAAGAGGTAGTAATAAATTTGTAATGCAAAAAGTTAATTGATTCCCAGGGCAGTCAACAGTTAATATGTGTTTTAATGCTCTGTGTTTTCAAGACTCATTGATTTCAAGAATTAATACTTTTCATTGCAGAAGAATGTTTATATGCTTGTACATTGTTTTTAGATTCTGTCCAGTTTCCTCACAATTAATTAGGAGATTGAGTTCAAGTGTCTGCCTAGCTATGAAATTTGAGCAAACTAGCAGCCTAATTAATGGCCTTTGCAACATTATTGAGAGAATTAATCAATAATCAAGAAAAGAGTTGAATAGATACATGGGACACTGAAGCTCAGTCAATATAGCTAACTGGAGAAAAATAATTCTGCAATCTAAACCATGTGTGGATGTTTCTTTCCAACACTCCACATTGAAGGCCCAGCTTGAGACTCAATTATAGGCTCAAGATCCAGATGGATCTTGAGAAACTTGAACATTGGACCCTATCCAACAAAATGAAATTTAATGTAGACAAAAGTAAAGTTTTATACTTAGGCAAGAAAAACCAAAAGTACAGGTGCAGATTAGGTGAAACCTGGCTCAAAAGCAGAAGGAGAAGGATATTGGAGTCCTACTGGACAATCATTTAAATAGGAACCAGCAGTATGAAGCAGCAGCCAAAAAGGCCAATGCAATCCTTGGTCACATAAAGAAAGGGATAGAATCAAGATCTTGTGAAGTATTTCTACTGCTTTATACAACCTTAGTAAGACCACACCTGGAATACTGCATCCAGTTTTGGTTGCCACATTATAAACTAAAAGATATGGAAACTTTGAAAAGAGTGCAGAAAAGAGCAACTAAGATGATTAAGGGCCTGCAGACTAAAATATGAAGAATGTTTACAGGAATTGGGTATGGTTAATCTAGTGAAAAAAAGCATTAGGGGTGATATGATAGCAGTGTTCCAATATTTGAGGAGCTGCCACGAAAAAGAGAAGCTCAACCTAACCTATTTTCCAAAGCACCAGAATGAAAAACAAGAAGCAATGGATGGAAATTCATTGAGAGAACCAACCTAGAAAAATTTCCTAACAGTGAGAACAATTAACCAGTGAAATGGCTTGCCTCCATAAGTTGTGTGTGCTCCATCACTGGCTTTTAAGAAGAGACTGGACAATCTCTTATCTGAAATAGTATAGATTATCCTGCTTGAGCAGGGGGCTGGACTAGAAGACCTACAAGACCCTTTCAACTCTGTCATTCTGTTATTCTGTTACAGGTAGTTGTTAACTGATAACAATTCGTTTAGTTCCCATTCAAAGTCACAATGGCACTAAAAAGTGATGTATGACCGTTATTCATTCTTATGACTTTTGCAACATATCTATGATCAAAATTCAGATCTTGGCAACTGGTTCATACTTATAGCCACCGCAGCATCCCAGGATTTTGTGATCATCTTTTGCGACCTGACAAGCAAAGTCAACGGAAAAGCCAGAATCACATAACAACCGGATTACTAACTTATCAACTGCAGTGATTCACTTAACAACTTCGACAAGAAATGTTATAAAAATGAGGCAAACCTCACTTAATAAATGTCTCACTTAACAACAGAAACTTTGGGCTCAATTGTGGGCGTAAGAACACAATGTATATCTGTATATCTTGACTAGGACTATCTGTATATCTTGAATTCTCACAATTATGCTATACTTTCTTTTAAAACTTTCCAGGAAAGTCTCAAGCTTATGGCAAGCTATTGTGCCATTCTGACCTCAAATAACTCCAAACATCATGACTTATGATCCATTTGTTTTGAAACCAAAGCACGGAAAGCATTTTTTTGAGATGGAAGACATTTTTACAAACAGAAGCATCTCTGAGAAAATCCATATGGCTCATCCTCCTTCCAAACAACCCATGATCATCTCAGTAGACAGGAAACTAAAGCTGATTATTTCCCCAAGGCAACCTCTGGGTCAGAGCAGTTGTGCAATGTACTTATTTGTGATGAAAAAGCCATTTGTGAGAACTAACTTTTGGGGAGAAGGATGTTTCAGCAGAGTCAAAATAAAAGTAATTTCCTGTCATCTCTTTTCACAGGGGTTCATTTCTCAAAATTTTGCATGAAGTACTACTAATAATAATACCGTGTTTCTCCCACAATACGACCTCCCCCAATAGGAAGACCCAGCATGTTTTCTAGGCATAAAATGAAATTAAGCCCCTCCCCCCCAAATTTAGGCCTATTTTAAAACATGCAAAATGGGGGGAAGGGCTCCAAACTTGCCATTAGGAGCGCCCTACGGGCAGCAATTCCTCGCCACCAGCTGCTCCTAATGGGCGATCATGGCAGAGCATGGAGAGCTCTGCCAAGCACCTTTGCGGCAGACCCAAGACCTTCAGCACCCGCCGCTGTTGCTTTCCCTTCTGCCCATGCCGCCGCCACATTTGGAGCTGCCACTTCCACGTTTGGAGCACTGCTGCCGTTTGGAGCTGCTGCTTCTGCATTTGGAGCTGCTGCTGCGTTTGGAGCTGCCGCTTCCACGTTTGGAATGGGTGTTTGGAAACAGCCCACTGCTGTTTGGAGCACTGCTGCTGTTTGGAGTTGCCATGTCCGCATTTGGAACTGCCGCTTCCGCGTTTGGAGCACTGCGGCTGTTTGGAGCACTGCTGCTGTTTGGAGCTGCCGCTTCCGCATTTGGAGCTGCCGCCGCGTTTGGAGCTGCTGCTTCCATGTTCGGAACCCCACAGCTGTTTGGAGCACTGCCGCTGTTTGGAGTTGCCATGTCCGCATCTGGAGCTGCCGCTGTGTTTGGAGCTGCTGCTTCCACGTTTGGAGCACTGCCGCTGTTTGGAGCACCACCGCCATTTGGAGCGCCGCCGCTACTCCAAACATGGCGGCAGCTCCAAACGTGGAAGTGGCAGCTCCAAACATGATGGTGGTGCTCCAAATGGCGGCGGCACTCCAAATGGCAGCGGCACTCCAAACACGGAAGCGACCGCTCCAAAAGTGGTGGCAGAATGGGCAGAAGGGAAAGCAACAGCGGCGGGTGCCAAAGGTCTTGGGTCTGCAGCAAAGGTGTTTGGTGGGAGTAGGGAGCTCTCTGCGCTTCACCATGATCACCCATTAGGAGCAGCTGGTGGCAAGGCTGCCCGCGGGGTGCTCTAGATGAGGATGCAAGGGGGAGAATTAAGTCACCCTCGAAAAGATGGCCTAGCCATTTTTTCGGGGCTCAAAAAAAATACAAGACCCGGCCTTATTTTATGAGAAACACAGTAGTAGTACAAATTCAGTCTTCTAAGGCATACTATGGCTGCCCATAAAGTTGCCATATTTAAACAAAAGAAAAAGTATTGAATCACAGTCATTAAGTACTGATCCTGATGAGCATGCCTTGAAAATAACTCCCTATGTGAACAGTACTGACATGTTAGCACATAATACAAGCCAAAATATGAACAGCAAAATAATTAAAAATTCTGGCTTTATGGGGCATATTTTACATCTGTTTTGGAATCAAATATGATACAAGTTTATACTCTCTCTCATTGCTATCTCAATGCATCTTAATAACCTGCAATTCTTCCAGACACATCCTAATAATTTCTTTGATCTCGTCCATTTATATTATACAGTTATCCCTGAATGACTTACTTCCTATGAATAGCAAACAATACCCACTTATTAACTCTGCAGCTTGTCAAATATTCTTTTTACAATTATACAGCTTTCTTAATCATAACTGGCTATAATGAGAGTCTATGCCTACTAAGGCCATGTATGTATACAACAGTAGATCTGAAGTATGTGATCCAAAGTTTCTGGAACTAGTAAACTGGAAAGGCTGGAGTACAGCAAAGAAGTGACTTTACTCACCTGGCCAAGAGAAATCCAGGCTTCTAAATAACACTGGGCCAGTTCATAATTATGTATTTTGGTATATTTTGCTACTTTTCTTCTAATATACAATCTCCATGATTGGTTGCTTCATTTGTTTTAAACCTCATGCCCTAACAGTTCCCAGTTCAAATATCAGAATCTCTAATAACAAGATTGAAACTGGACTATAAAGCAAAAGGTTTTTTTAAGAGCTGTAACCATCAGAGGAGAACGCTGTAATTCCACTTAGTCAAGTTTTGGTGACCAATTGTTCATGATTAATTTTCCCATGTTCTTCTTTTGTTGTACTTGTGTTTTGGTTTGTGACCGCAAATAAAGTATTATTATTATTATGGTGGAGCATACTCAATAATCTTTAAGCCTTTCTCACTCTCTAGGGGGGTATATGTTTGTTTGTGTGCCTATTGTGTGCATGTATGTATGCTGTGTGTGTACACACACACAAATGTATGTATTTGTGTATACTACATACACACACACACACAAACTCTCTAAAAACCTTCTCATTATCTCCATCTTTAAAAACACTGGAAAAGCACTCCTCTCTAAGTAGGTCAGTAAATAGGTCGGACACAGTAAGTAGGTTAGACAAGGAATAATGGATGGAAACTGAACAAGGAGAGATTTAACCTGGAAATAAGGAGAAATTTTCTGACACTGAAAACAATCGACCAATGGAATAGCTTGCCTTCGGAAGTTGTGGGAGCTTTATCACTTAAGACTTTCAAGAAGAGATTGAACTGCCATTTGGCAGAAATAGTGTAGGGTCTCCTGCTTGGGCATGGGGTTGGATTAGATGACCTACAAGGTCCCTTTCAACTCTGTTAATCTGTTAAGTCTGCTTGGCTCCATTATTGTTTTTCAGTGTGTTCTAAACTTTTCAGTGCTTTTTTTAGGATACCTTCATTGTGACAGAAGCTGGTTTAGATTTTTTTCAAATGAAAAATGTCATAACAACAGGCTAAACATAGTAAAAATGAGAATAATCTAGGCTGGTAGACATCCCAGTATTCTCTTGTTTGTGTTATAACAGATTTGTCCACTCTCGCACAAGAAGGAATTCAAACAGATTTTATAACATTCTAAGAGATAATAAAAGCACATGCATCCCCTTGTTTTATTAAAACTGTTTTACTCCTTAAGTAGAAATTGGAAAATTGCAATCCCACATTTGCTTAATGCCCTAAAACCAAATTGACATAATACATTACAATTGTGATAAGTATTATAAAGATTTCTCCAAGCTGCTAGCTTGGTTCATTCATATACTTACATTTCCTCTGCTGAGGAAAACGGTGACTTGACCTTCATCCCGAATCTCAGAAAACATGGGTGCTCCCACCAGCAGGTCTGAAAGTCCATCAGAATTCAGATCAACTGCACATAAGGAGGAGCCAAAGTAAGAGCCCATCTGCAACCAAGCCGAGTCACAACAAAGCATTCAGTATCTGCCCACACACAAGAGGAAATCACACAAGGTTTTATCTCTTTTTTTTTTTTTTGCAAGTGAAACAACTTACTGATCTCATATCTGGCAGCTGTAAATGCCAGTTGCAATAGTTTTATAATATCAACTGGACAGGGTAACCACTCTTATTGTTATGGTTGAACACCATTGAACACATCAAGATATATAGACTTGGTTTGACATTTTTATCCACTTATCAAGATCTGGGATAGGCAGTTGTTGTTTGATGGTGTTAAATGTATTGTTGAAAGATGTTAGCTGTTCCAAGTAAAACTGCCTTTTGCATTTGATTGATGGCTATTTTTTGTTTCAATGCCAACAGTGTTTAAATGGTGCTCCAGTTGTTTTCGTACTACTATTGGTACTACATTTATTTCATTTTTTGCTACAACCATTCTATTACTATTTGAAGGTCTTTGTATTTTGTGATTTTCTTCAGTTCTTTCTCTTCTCCTGTCTCCAGGTACTGCCTTGTCTATTATCCAAACTTTCTTATCAACAATTGTCAAGTCTATATTATTATCATCATCACTGTTCTTATTTTTAAAAGCCTCACATCATTTCTAGCTTATTTTGTCTTCTATCCCACCTTTCTTTTACAGCACAAAGCAATACAGATAGCCCCCTCCCACTCTCATTTCCTCACAAGAACACTCTTGAAATATTGCTAAGCAGCAAAAGTAATTAATTACTGAACTTCTGGCATTTCAGAGAATACCCTAGTAGCCAAAGCTACCTAGTAGCTTTGGCTACTAGGAATTGTAATTCTGCCTCCTCTTAAGGCTTACCTAGTCTTGCTTTAAATAAAGCTGGACTACTGAAGTGACAATGATGATGATTCACCTACATCAGTAAAGATTTCATGCAAGATACTTTTAAAAAAGAATCAAACTAATGATTCTAATAATCAAACTAAAAGAATAAAACTAATGCAGTATAAAAATTTCATTTGGATGCTTGTTTGACCATTGTCTCATAGATTCCAAACAACTTACAATCTCTTCAATGGAGTTAAAGTAGAATTAAGTCATGAAGTAGATACCTATGGAGATTCTCAGTTATCCAGGTCATGGTTGTCCAAAGGTCCTTTTTCAAGAAGCAACCGGACTTTGTTTTTTCTTCTAAGATATTTTGCTTCTCATCCAAACTGAGTTAGGAACATCCAAAGTTTATTGGATGAGAAGTGAAACATCTTCAAAGAAAAACAAGAAAGTCCAGTTGCCTCTTGAAAAAGTACATTTGGGTCAGGAAGCAAATGTGTTCTCAGTAATTCAAAAACCAGTTTTTTTAACAAGAAAACTAGGTCAGGAATATTGATAGATCAATATTATGCCTAAAAATGCACTGATATACAGTTCAGTAATACTGGAGACTATTACCAGCTCAAAAATTCATCCAACGATTGAATCAATGACAAATTACTTAATGAAGAAGTTTCAAGATATTGTAGAATAAGGGGCCTTCAAGGGAACCAAAAAGCACAAGGGCAGAATGTTCATATGGACTCAGCTTTCTTCTCATTGAATGCATCAATATTTTTTTTTCCTCCATTCCTTTTCATTCAAGTCAATGGCCCTTCAAATGGGTGGGTATGGGAAACTCAAAATACTATTAAAAAAAAAACATATTGTACAAGCATAGATCATTAGTTTTACGGCCCCACAGAAAAAGATTCATTCCATCTAATAATTTTAAATAATGAAATGTAAAGGATTTAAAATATTAAGCGGGTTTCATTTTGAATGGTTATTGTTTAAGTCTATTTAAAATGAGTTCAACTTGAGAACTGTTACAAAGATAAAAATGGTTTGAAATATAGCTGTTGATATAGTGACACAGTATTTTTGATTTACCCACAAGATATAATTTTTTTCCAGGAACTGCACTGATTTCTTGCAAATGTTCAAGTTCAATTTAAGATGCTAATTATTATCCTGTAATTTGGTTACCTATAAAACAGTCTGCTCCAAGTAGAATTGCCTATCTAGTAAGAACTAATAAAGAGGGCATATTAAAAGTGTCTCATCTGGAAATATAAGCAAGAAGAGGTTTAGAGAACAGCCCACTTTGCAATATCTTCCCTTCTCTGAAATAACCTACCTCTAGAGATAAGAATTGGTATTGCTCCTATTGGTTTTTCAGAAAGCTGTCAATAGGCTGCCTTTCTTTTCCATACAGCCTTTGAGGATAGAATGGAAATAATAATGTTCTTAGTGGGGAAGACAATGTAGGAGATGACCAAGTTGAACCTAAGGGAGGGGTCAAATGCATCATAAGTCATGACTTCTTTTTATACCCACAAGAGATCTAAGTCCACCCTACCTTGAATGTGTCTCATATTTCCCATGTTTCCCTTAATGGTCAGCTGGCCAGATACTTGTTTATCTTCTTGCTTAAGCTTGCAATAAATCTTTATATTCGTTTGAACTGCCTTAATCTTCTATTCTCCCTGGCACTTGACATAGAGTAACATCTGACTTTATTGTACTGATTTATTTTTGAAAACTTAATTGTTATAATAGACAATTGTTATTTGGATTGAAGTGGCTGGACTGAAAAAAGACTGCATTTGGCAGATTTAAAACTGAAAAGATCATACATCATATGACTTGGTTTCAGAATTAATATGAAAGCATCACATATGTATGGTAGTGGTATCAAACAGACTCTCTCTGCATTATATGATGACAAGCTATGAATTGGAGGTACACAGGATGGAAACATTTTATGCAGTTTTCACAAGAAAACCCTGATTTAACAAGCTGCCCTGAATTGTGAATGTACTTTGGATTTTTGCCAAGAAATGCTTATCCTTCATTCACTGTGAAAATAGGACTCAGACCAAAATATAATTGAATTGTTTATTTCTAAATGGACTATGCAAATCTAATTATTGTACTTAGTTAGTTAATAGTTCAGTATGTTAGAAAAATCTCAGAACTGGTTGAATTCATTAAACTGAGTTATTAAGTTAAGTTATCATGTGTTATTTTGTTATGCAAATAAAAGTTCTGTTTGACCAAAAAGTTGGATCATCAAACTAGGCTTTCAGAAACTATTTACAGAGGCTGCTTACTGTTTAAATAATTGTAATTCTACCTCCTCCTTAATTTAGCCACCAATTTTTCTTCAATCAAACTGAGCCCATACTTCAGCCAATGGCTTAGGTAAGTCATGCAGCAGTAACCCTGCCTTTCATACCAGTAGTTGAATTAAATGGACTTTTCGGTACTGAAAAGTTATAAGCACTGTTTTACAAATCACAGTAGAAAGAAACTGAAAGACAAGGATCAACTAGATAACTCTAATTCTGTTTACTTTTCTGGGTTGCTGGACAATCAGCATCTAATCCTGTGTGGATTCCTTTTATTCTTTGCAATTGCATACAGCAGTGTTATTTTAATTTCCTAGACTATGAATGAAGTAAATGAATAATATGTCACTATGAATTAGAGCAATTTCATGAAGGAAAAGATAATCCTGTCATAGGATTGTCCTGAGAGGAAACCTAATGTTATTGTGAGAATTTTTTAATTTTTTGCCATTTACATCTGTCAATTTTAATTTACAATTTATTTACAATTTTCAAAAGTCAACTACTTCAGATTGTATGCCATCATAACAGAACTTCATAAAAAGAAAGCTCCTAGCATTATTTTTTGCAGCACAACTATGGTGTCACAGAATGGTTTAGAAGTCCATCAGAGGCCATCTTATAAAAAATCTCATCTAAATGCCACACAATTCTGTTGAGCGCAGAAAACTTACAGAGCTTTTGCATAATTTTGCTTTACCTGATATCATAGGTTCTACAAATAAAGACATATATTCACTTTAACAGTTTGATGGCATTTGCAAAAAGGATTCCTATCAAGCTGATAAAAATCCAGCACTAATTTATAATGCATGGTTACATGAATGGATGATCCAAGACATCTGTTTCTTAAAATGTTCTCAACTCAGAAAATTGAAGCATGAAGAAAGAAATGGGATCAATTGAGTAAACTCTTGCCTTGAAAGCATTGTGCTAATGAGCTACCTAAATATAATAAGGCTTTGACAAGAACACTATGGGATATCCTTTATTACATTTATTCAAAAGTTAACACATGTATTTGTTGACAGTGCTGGGTTTCAGGATTTAGTGACATGGTCTGGAAAACAAATTTCCAGACATTTTTGCCAGAAACTATGGCTGGCATCTTCAGATGCAAATGATATGCTATACTGCCACTGAAGATGCCGGCCACAGTTGCTGGCAAAATGTTGGGAAATTTGTTCTCCAGATCACGATAGTAAATCCTAAAGCCCAACACCCCCAAACACTATTATTTGTGAAAGCTGATTGTAATTAAATATATTTTTGCTTGAGGGTTACTCACCTTTTTACCAGAAGCCTGAAAAATTTTGATCAAAGAGCCAGAATTCTTATCTGTGCGGAATATGTACACCTATGAAGTTAAAAATAATGAAGTTTTATCTCCAATATAATTAGATCAACTGACATAATTTATGCACATCAATGTGCCTATAATGCAGCACTCTTTTGGGGTAAACAATGTTATATAAAGTGCAAAAAAGGCATAAAATGTAAGTAGTCAAACATGATTAAAGTTTAAGAATTAAGAGAGAGAAGGGAAGGAGGGAGGGAGGGAGAGGGAGAGAGGGGGGGAGAGCAATAAAGCTGAAACAAGTTTACACTAAAACATTCATATAGCACTCCATACTATTTTATCTTTACAAACCATCGTTCTTTCCACCACAGCTTCATTGCTTCATACATTTTATTTTGTTCTTAAGTGTCTTTTTTCTTTCTTTGATGAACTCCATCCAATCACAACTGTCTCAAGCATCCTCTTTTCCATTTTTAAATATAATTTTTGGGAATTCAATCCTTTTATCTCAGTGAATTTCTTTTTTTGCTGGTCACTCATTTTACTATTAAATCCACATTCATTCAGCCTTCATTCATTTTTGACCCTATATTATCTTGCTTAAATGCATCATTTTGACTATATTCAATTTGATTTTATGTTTTTCCGGGTATATCTAACTTTCACTTTCATACATGAAAACAGCAACATCATTTTATTCCCAGTCATTTTTGTCTACATCACCATTCATTCCTTGCAGTAATCCACCCACAGCCTACTACATACTGTCATTTCACCAGATTTAAATTCTTAAAATTCCTCTCCATAGTTTCAAACATAAACAAATTTTTCTACTTCCTCCAGTTTAATATTGACGTGCAATTTTCATTCATTCATTTAATTTTTTCCTGACAAACACAACTATTTTGATCTTTGATACTTTTCTTTTCACATCATTTTCCTCACTGTATCATACAATGTAATATTTGCTGCATATCATTCAGGATTATTAAACAAGGCATCATGACTCAATCTGATACTGCTCCAATGTCACCACAATCATGCCTTACACATTTATCCATGTCAACTCGTAAAGCATTCCTCGCTTGCTCTTGACTTGCCATATGAAGTGGGGGAGATCGGATGGAGCAGTTAGTTGCTATAATCAGAAGCACATTCCATGCATACATTTCTCCAGATTGTGTCTCAAGTTACCAAGCCCAGCCGGAGTGGCGTGTTTTCCACAGCCCATGAAATAACTTTGTTGGAGAATGTGATTTATGACACACCCTGGGAGGAGGGGGAAACAGGGCCATAGGTGAACAGTAAATTACACAGAGCAGGGCCAACTGCACTTGGAAAAAGTGCTGACATGTTGCTCCTAATAAACAATTGGATTTCTTTTGAAACTTTTGAAAAGGTGGCCAGCCACATTGAGCGCAGGCTTACAGAGGTTGACAGGAGGAAGGAGGACCAGTACTGAACAAACTGCCCACTTCAGGGGGAAATTTGATGGGGACTCCAACCAACTAACTGTATTTCTTGATTCAGCTGAGATCCACCTAGAACACTATAGATACCTCTACCCATCCCCCAGAGCCATGGTGAACACTCCCACCCAAGAAGCTAGAGGGAGAGGCAAGGGAATGGCTAGCAGCCCTACACAAGAGGAGAACCCCCCAACTGCAGGACATAGATGACTGATTTGAGGAGGCGAAGGATGGAAGATGAGCTCAGAAACCTAAGGCAGAGGGGCAACACATCAAGGAACATATCTGTGAATTCAGGAGAGTCATTGGGAGGTCAACTAGACCAGAGGCCACTCAGCTGACAGGGAACCACTACACCACAGCCGTCCCCAAAATCAGCCTTCCCACAAAGTCCGCTGAAATGCTACAGATGCAGGGGAATAGGCCACATGATACCCAGCCCTAAAACCAAGGCCAGAGCCACCATCCATGGCATAATCGGAACAAGGCCCCAAGCGCACCATGATATGTCTCCAGGCTGCAGAGGTCCTTCCCCACCCAGACAAAGTGGGGGTTCCCCAGGAAACAACGAGCAATCACCAGACTCCTACGACAGCAAGGACAAGGGCAAAAATGACCCAATGGTGAGTGAACCAGTTCACCCTTTTGTTTTCCCAATATACCTAATAGACCCAGAAACAGGAACCCAGGGGACTTTTCAAGCTCTAATAGACTCAGGCTGCACTAGATGCTTGATCAACCTAACCATGGTCCTGAAACTGGGGATCAGAGCAAAAAGATTAAGCCATCCGATCTGGTTCAAATAGGTCAACAGGTCCCTATTGGGGGGAACCTGACTGAACCAATGAGGCTAGAGTTAGCAAATCACTGGGAAGTAATTTGATTTGTAATAGTCCCCAAAGTGACAGACAGAGTCATACTGGGACTCACCTGGCTAAACAAGTGGAGACTGACTATCTGGTGCAAGGGGGTAGTCACACATTGAGGATAGCAAGGGGACCCCAACTACCTCTACACAAGCAGATAGAAGCACTGCCCACATAGGGAACCCTTCCAAAGGACCCACTAGAACAACTGGCAGCCACCTCCGACAAAATCCCAGAGGCTGAGCAGATCAGGATCTCGCAGAAGTATTCAGCAAGACCCAGTGTGATGTTCTGCCTCCCCACCATGAGGCAGACTGCACCATCAAAATCATCCCCAGGGAAAAACTGCACAAGTCCAAACCATGATGCTCTGGGAAATGCAAGAATTGTGCAAATACATAGACAAAAACCTAGCAAGGGGGTTTATCGAGCCAGCCAAGCCACAGCCCCAGTCCTATTCAAAGAGAAAAAAGGATCGAACTGTGAGATTATGTGTTGATTTTAGAAGCATAAACTGTGTGTGTGTACACAATCCATAACCCCTCCCTCTCATGAAGGATGTGCTATCTCACCTGGTCAAGGGAAAAGACTTTACCAAATTAGACCTCAGAGAAGCATATTACTGAGTAAGCATCAGAGAGGGAGATGAATGGAAAACATCATTAAACTGCCCCCCTAGGAAGCTTCCAATTCAAAGTGATGCCTTTCAGACTGCAGGGGCCCCCAACCGTGTTCATGCAGTTAATAAATGAGGTGCTGCACGAGCACTTCTATAAGGAGGTTCTCATCTACCTAAACGATATCCTCATCTACACTGAGACCATGGACGACCACATACCCCTGGTCTTCCAGATACTGGAAAACTTCTCACAGCCAACCTGTACGTCAAACTATCAAAATGCAAATTCCACCATGCACGCTAGACTACCTGGCTACCAAGTGTCAAATGAGGGCATAGAAATGGATCCAGCCAAAGTACAAGCCATCCTAGGCTGGCAGCCCCCTCACACCCACAGACAGCTACAAAGCTTCTTAGGGTTCACAAACTTCTAACAGCAATTCATCCCCTTCATGAAGTTTGCCAAACCCATGATGGACCTCCTAAAGACAGGGAGCCCAAGAACGAAAACCCACCCAGGACAATCCCCACAGTGGGACCTAACCTGCCAAAAGGCATCTGAAACACTGAAAGAACTGTTTGCAAAAGAACCAATAGTGAAGCATCCTGACCCCTAACAACCTTTCATCATCCAGGCAGACATCAGTGATGTGGCTGTGGGAGCCATGCTACTTCAAAGAAATAGCCAAGGAAACGTATAGCCCTGCGCCTGCATCTCCCGCAAGCTCACGAACACAGAGAGGTGATGGGCCGCATGGGAAAAAGAGCTTTCATGGTGAGATGGGCACTATTAACCTGGTGCCACCTACTGGAAGAGGGGCAGAGGCAGTTTTAAGTCTGGACCAACCACAAAAATCTGGAAGTCCTTAGGACCCCATGAAAACTATCATCCAAACAAGTCTGCTTGGTTCAATATTTCAACTGGTTCGACTTCGAGCTAAAGCACATTCCATGGAGGAGGAACTTTCTAGCTGATGCCCTCTCCTGCATGCCCTAGTACAAATGCAAACGGGAGGAGGTAGTAGATGCCATTGTCCCTCCTGCCTAAATAACTGCCCAAGTAATCACCAAGCAACAATGCCATGACCAGCAAGGCACACCCACAAGCGATCTCACCATAAAACTTAAAAGTGAATGCTAGCAGATCCTGGTTCCAAGACAATCAACATATCTTGAAAAAAAGGGATGACCTGGCATGGAAGGGGATGAAACTCTACATCCCAGAATCCCTACGCATCCTAATCCTCCAGAGGAGCCACAATGCCAAATCGACAGGCCACTTCAGGTTCTTAAAGACCTTACAATTAGCATGGAGGCAATTCTGGTGATCTGGCAAAAAGAAAAAAGTTGATAGTTATATGAAAAGTTGCACCATCTATGCCGCAATGAAAAAATGACCAGGAAATATACACCCCCGGAATGCTGCAACCAGTAGCAAAGCCAGTGAGGCCATGGGAGGAAATTGCAATGGACTTTATAGTAGAGTTTCTGAAAAGTGGAAGGGAACACAGTGATCTGGACTGTAATAGACCTGTTCTCCAAACAGGCGCTCTTCATACCCGGCAGCGGACTACCCTCAGACCACCCGTTAGCCAAACTGTTACTAAAGCACATCTACCGCTTGCATGGAGTACTACGAAGAATTATCTCAGACAGAGGGGTCCAGTTCACATCTAAGTTCTGGAGGAAGTTCCTGCAGTCCACTGGGTCATCCCAGGGTCTTAGCTCTGTCTTTCATACAAGCACCAATGGGGGGCAGAGACTGAATGCCATGGTAGAGCAGTATCTGAGGTGCTATGTGAACTATCAGCAGTCCAATTGGACGGACCACAAGCCTTTCTCGGAGATTGTGTACAATAATGCTGTTCACAGTAGCACAGATCTGATGGAACAGTTCGTTGCTATGATCAGAAGCACATTCCATGCATATCTTTCTCCAGATTGTGTTTCAAGTTACCAAGCCCAGCCAGAGAGGCATGTTTTCCACAGCCCGCAAAAGTATTTTGTTGGAGAATATGATTTATGACACACCTTGGGAGGAGGGGGGAAACAGGGTCATAGATGAACAGTAAATTACATAGGGCAGAGCCAACTGTACTTGGG